ATTGTCTGATTTTAAACAAAGTAGGAATTAACATTTTTAACGTTTGTAACATCTTCGCATGAACTCTTTGTTACGTCAATATCAGTGGGAGTATTCTCATAGACTATGTCATTAACGGTACTGCAGTTATCGTTCTCGTTGGTCGCGTTAATTGATGTGGACATTGCATGCGAATCATTACAAACAAAAGGTGATTTAACAACAGAGTTCAATGGCTGCAAATAATTTGTATTTTCTGGATCGTTTTCAAAAGGAACTGAAACCTGTATTGGAATCAAGTTCAATTCGGTTTCTAAGCGCGACGGAATCGCGAAAGGATTCAAAGCGTGTCTAGTAAAATTGACGAAATCTGTTTGCTGAAAATGGTCTTCGCATATGAATTTATTACGACACTCTTGTGTAACATCGATGTTACAAATATTTTTCCACTTTATCGAAACGGCTGGGTTTCTCGGAAATCTGTAAAAATGCTTTTATTTTTTATTTTCTTAGTCCCGCCTGTGCACCAATAGTATGCATTGTCGCATCCCGGAAATCGGCAAGAAAACTTAAGTTGAGGAGCCACTGTGAAAATGTAAAGCTATCTGTATGTGAGAAATCATGACTAGTACAAAACTTACTATGCAACTTATCACAGCATGTCTATATCACAGCCTTGTTTATAGTTGGTCTCCTATCGATGTCACATTATTTTTATTGATGATAATCTGCCAACCAACCTGCCAACCAAACCCCGTGAATCGCACACATTCCAGTTCCAGTTTCGTACCTTGGAACTTCCTATGAAAAAATATACAATTATTAGAATGGATTTGAAAGTAAAGAAAAATTGAAACATAATCTTCATGACTTTGTAAAGTTTTTAATTCACATTAGAATTACAATTGCATAAATTACCACAATAAATTTGTCAAACTCACCGTTCTAGCAAAAGAAACATCTCCACGCTATGACATTAACATTTTCAGAAATGCACATCGAAAGTAATATTTCCTGGCAGAATGAATACACGGTACTACACCTCCTGTGTGTAGCGGCGGTTTGACCCCTACGAAGTAAAACATCCGTAAAAAACCTGCTTCATTGCATCGATGAATTTCAAATGCTAATCGATATTTCTTGTTATTTCTCTGGCGCGGCATTTCCAAAAACTCACCGTTTTAATCTCTTTTGTTCTTTCACTATTGCCCTGTGCCTCCTTTAGCAGCGAATTCTTGTTCTTCAAGAGAGTCGTTTTCACTCGACACGTGCGCGTCGCGCGACCTTTATATATGTTCTGTGTGCTCGACACTGTAATCCTTTATATATGTTCTGTGCTGTAATCCGACCGAAGATGGAATATGGATTGATTTTCTTAGTTCTTGTAGACCACTCGAGCGGGTCGGACGTGTTCCCTCTCGTCTCGGATGTTGCGTCACCTCGACAATATTTTTGAAAAGCGTTGCCGGCTTGGACTGTGCCTTAGTATTTCAATTCCGATAGTCCCTTTATCCGTCTTGGCGCGCGGCCGTGCGGCGTGGAAGCGTCGTAGCCGCAGGCGTCCAGTATTTGAAGGGGCGCCTCACCATTTTTGATTGCATCATCCATCACTCGCCCGGTTCGAGGTGGCCGGTGCTGGATGCATACTGCATAGCGTACCCAATCACCTTTAGTTCAATTACGAAGACCTCAATGGCCCAGTACCAGCCTGACTAGGTTGCGGGGCCAATAAAAAAAAGAAGAAGAAGGATCGATTTTCTTTGCGTGAAACTTACAATAATGGCGGCACAAAAGAGAATTTCATTCGATCAGTTTAGGTTATCATCGACAGTATTCGGCTCACTGCGTGCGCATTCATTTCCCCCGTTTTCGTTAGGAAACGTGTCGCCAACTTTTAAAACGTCAAAATGTCATTGCATAGCTATTATTAGAAACATTGAAACTAAACAATGTCATTGTTATGACATTAATTACAATAATCTAATATCATATCATAACAATATCATACCTTAGCACGAACACAACCTCAATTCCAACTTGCACTGGTCATCACTGACTTCAAAGACAGTGGAGCAAAACTTGCTCAGTGCAAGTTTTTTGCACCAGTTTTATCAATGGAACATTAAATGCCCATTTCCACCAATATAGATTAACTTTAATCTCGGTTCAACTTACTCTTCGTCTTTTTCTAATCTTTAGAACTAGAAAAAGACAAAGA